TTTTTTTTTTATTGCGTATTTACGTATTACGATTTCATTGATAATCCAATGATATTAATAATTAAACCACGAATATACACAAAACTTAAAGATGCAAAAATATCTGAAGTAGTGAAACAAATTTCTGAACTCTATCTCTTCTATTCATAAAATTAACAGCAAAATTCCCTATGTATTGATAATATAAAATCGGCATTCCATGTTACGTGCAATTATATATACTATTATGACATGATTGATATTAAAAAATCGATCAAATAATCAACTCGAAGAATTGAAAGTTATGAACAAATACTTAAGTACTTGGGAATGTTAGTTTTGTTATTAATTACATGATATAGAAATTATGATACTAACATTCTTTCTCGCGGTCAATAAGCGTTTATCGTGTATTTCTTCTACTATAGCAGAAAAATGATTGAATTGATGTCTCGAAAAAACATGTTTGTTCTTTTATTTTTACTATAACAAATCTAACTATTTACTGTGATATATTTGTTAAAGATTCTCGTAACGTTAAATAAATAACAGTGCGTAAATGTAATTTTATGTAAATTAAAAAAACTAGAATTATCTCGCAAGAATGATCCGTGACAATTTATAAAATGCTCGTTGAAAACTATCAAAACTATATCTCTATCATAAAATATTCCATCTGCGTCAATATTGAAACTTCCGGTTTCAATTATATTTTTTTACTGTTTCATCGTATTGTTGCTATAAATTTTTTCACTTGCAGAAGGGCAAGTTATTAATTAACTTATACAGTATGGAAAAATCGTTTCTATTGTTATAAACAGATTCTACTTATTATATTAATTAATTAATTTGTACATATAATAATATTTAGCTTAATTATTTGTAATGACAACTTGTCCCAGTAATAAGTAATAAGACAAACAAAATTGAAATATTATATTCCAATTTGTGTATTTTCTTTTTACACTATTACAGTGTAAAAAAGAAAGAAAAAGAAGTATATTTTTTATATTTCATTTTTATTGTACTGTATCCAATTTGTTTCTACATTCGGATACATTATTCATTCTTTTTTTTTTTTTTTTTTAAATATCATATACAGATAGAACGCTAATATAGTTCCCCCAATCTGCCTCAATTAATATTATAAATTGATCAGGGGAAGCAATAATTTCTTTTCGCATAAATTACACAAGTTACAGCTAGCATGTCTCGCGCACACGTACGCGCATATCTTCGTTTCCAAAGTTAAATAAAACTTTCATAGGAGAAATGAAATTCAAGAGATCATGTGAACACTAACAACTCGAATGACGAATTTCTCTTCTACAAATATACATACAATCATATTTACGCGTTACGTTACATTACGTTTACTGCTTACATTGTGTGTTGTGTTCACTATACTAAGCTATAATGATAGAATAAAACAGAGAAATATGAAAGAAACTAATCGTCGTAAGAAGCACAATGTTTTTAATATTAAGAATAAGATTTTTTTTTTATGAAGAATAAGATAAGATATTCTTCTTCTAAAGCAAAAAACGAAAATTAATGTAATTTGCCACGTTAAAGGGATCAATAGCCTATACGAAGAAATATTTTTTGTTATATTTCTAATGAACTAGAAATACACTATCATACACATACTGTCAACTTCCATGATACAATTGTATCAAGCACGACTTAAACATCTCGTGTAAAAATTGTACTTTGAAGAGATGCACTTCGCATTGAATTTGTTATACTTTTCAATATAATCGCACGAGTTTTTCATTATTTATAAAAATTGTGCAGAGCAAATATTACATGAAAATATGAATATATAACTATTGAACCCTTCTAATAGTGGTTTATTATAAATATCTTTAAATACAATCCTACACGTATTAGTAACGTATTATAACTTAACACGAGTTTTATCGAGATATGCATACAACAATGCATAGAATAAAGTAAAAAATGTTCTTTTCAAATTACACACAGGTAACTCGCTGCTTAATAACATTTCACATTCCTATTCACATTCCGTAGATATATACAGAAGTACATTTTATTATTTTGTCTTTGATAGAAATCATTCTACATGTAAATAGAAGAGAATAAAGAAAAAAACCGCTACGTTTCATTTCTATTACGTGTGACAGATTCTGATTTGTATCATTTTCTAGTTACATTAAGTAGTTAAAAATGAGAAAGCGTTAGATCGATAGTCACGTAATCCGTAACATTGAGGCTTCT